CAGAGCAGCTCTGTCCTGGCTTCCTGAAGACCCATCGATTCCTGCTGGGTGCAGGAGGCCGGAGACTCCCCTCTGGTCAGCACTGCCTCTAGGCTCAGGTGTGGGACCCAAGTAGCCAGGAGAGGCAGCAGGTATCTAAGACAGCCCCAGACAGGGAACAGTGACCTGCTCAGCTCTAGGGGACAGGAAGGAAGACTTCTGTGAACCTCAGCCCTGCTCCCCAGTGGATGAAGAGGCTTAGGTAAGGTCACTTTCTTCAGCTCCTTCTCTGGTAGAGATTGACCCAGGGCCACGATGAGCTCAGAGTGTGTGTGTCTGAGCCTGGCAAGGACGTGGCACAGGACAAGGCGACCTCAGTGTTCCAGGCCTTGCAGGGTCCTTGTAGGGCCTCGGGGTTAGGCGAATTAGAGCCTGGGGGGCAGCTGCCTATCTGAAAGTACCACTGACAGGTTACTATTTAATTTGTTTTTCACTTTAGTCCCAGTGGGGTTGGGAGTGGGATCTGCTTTGTCTGAGGCTGTGGTTCAGGATGGGAGGTTGGGTGCGGGTAAGCAGGGCCTCCAGGCCTCAGAGGCTTAATGACACCCTTGCTCCCTGGAAGTCCTGGGGTGGAGCGGAAGTATCTCTTCTCCCAAGCTCACCCCCAGGACGCATCGCAATCCTGATAGCAGGAGCGCAGAATACCCAGAACCTGACTGTGGCCCAGCATGGTCACAGCCCACAACTGACTCCCTGACACTAGCCAGCCTCCAGCCCCAGGCGCCAGCGCACACTCTGAGGTGATGAGGTCACTCGCTATTGCGGGAGGTGGGGGGAGGCAGCAGGAGGAAGACCATTCTACGTCTCTACATTCAGATTAAAATCTGCATTCCTAGGCCCTCGTAAGTGGCTGCAACCCACCTTCCGCCCTACCTCCCAATCAGATCATCCAGAGTCCACTTCCGACTCTCCCAGGTGCTTCTGTAGGCCTCACCCATCTGGAATGTCCTCTCCTGTTTCCACCAGGACCCTCACAAGTCCACACAGGCTCCAGCCTGCAGGGAGCCCTCCTGTACTCCCTCCCATCTGCCTTGCAAGGTGTTTTCTTAGCAGAGTTCCTGCCCTGGGAGCTCCAGGAGAGAGAGGCCAGTAACAGCTGTGCCTCTGGTCAGTGCAGGCAGTGAGTAGCATGAACACAAATGGGCAATTCTGTCCGCATCACACGGGTACCTGGACACAGTCGGAGACACTGCGGCAGTGCAGCACCATGGTCGGAGCACAGCCTTGAGGCAGGCGGCCCTGGTGTGAATCCTGGCTCCAAGCCCTGGGCCAGTCCCTTGATCTCCCCCAAGAGACGCCTCTGTCAGCAAGCCAGGAAGGACACATAATGTTTGTTATCAAATCAAATGAGAATTCAGGAAATCACTTAGCCCAGCACCAAGCACTATAAAACAGCAGCTGCTGGCCTGGCCCTTTGCCTGGCCACTGGGCTCTTCGGGTGCGGCTCATACTGAGCCTTCTCCTGCTCTGCAGTAGAGGGGAACAACCCTGGAGCTGGGGGATGGAGGACTCTGCATCTGGCTCCCGGCCCTAAGGTCCTGGATCCTTCTGGAGCAGCTTCCTTCCATGGCTCACTCCCTGGGAATGTCTTGCAGCTAAGCAGGCCAGGCCCCCCACCCCAGTACTTGTTGGGGCTTTGTAGTCAGTGTCATTCCATGGGTTTACTACCTTGCTGAGCAGTGTCATTCCATGGGCTTATCAATGGCTGCTTACTCATCGAGGTTACTGGATTATAATAAGGACCTACACAGACACCGGAGCAGGGCCACTGTCCCTCAGTTACTGCCCTGAGCCCTGCCCCTTGCCCTGCAGAGCAGTTCCTGCCAAATCAGGACCCTCACCCTGGGGGTCCTCCTGATGGGGTGGGGGCAGGCGCGAGATGAGCACGCCTTGCTTCAAAGCTCTCCTGGACACTTTGGCACTAACAAATCCACTCTGTTTAGTGGACAGATGAAGCCCTGCAGTGTCTTTTAGGACACTCTACTGTCTGCCTGGGAGACCAACAACGCCAGCCAAGAAGCCTACCTGAGGGGGGTGGCACGACGTTCTCCCTCCTTGAGGCTAGCCATGTTCCCTGGACCTACAGCCTGCATGTCTACCTAGCCGGGGCCTGATCCTCATGCCATCTCTGGGTCCTCACCCGCTCATCATTCTAAGAGGACATTTCATTTTGTTAGTCTTAGGATAGGGTCTAAAGTTCACTAAGACCTGACCTCCACATCCGTACACTGACCTATCATGTGTATACACACATGACCACTCACACAATACGACATACACACACCCGGCCTGAACACTGAAATGCAGAACATAGCTGCAGACGGCCTGGCAAGTTAAAAGTCCAGAAATCCCAGTCCTGAGGATCCTACAGCTAGGCCTCTCTTCATTGAGACAAAGAAGGCCACTCCTTACCTCCGGCTGAAGCACTCTTCCTTTAAAATGCGTGTCCAGATGTGGTGGTGCACACCTGTAGTCCAACTAGTGGATAGGCTGAGACTACAGGACTGCCACCAGGTTGAGACCAGCCTGAACTATATAATGAGTTCAAGGCCAGTCTGAACTACACAGTGAGACCTTGTCTCAAAAACACCAATAATAGTAATATAAAATGAGTGGTCTTTATTATTATCCAGCATGCAAGTCAGGAGCTTTGAATTCACATTTCAACAGTGACGTCTGAGCAGAATCCCAGTGGTCACACCTTCCTGTGGGGCATTTTTCCCATTGAGGAGGAAGGTGGGAAGTAGGTCCTGCCGCTGCAGGACACAGGTGCAACTACTAAGCTTTCCTCTCCAAGGCTCCAGAGCAAAGGAAGTGGAGAGAAGTTGGAAGGAGGGAAGAGGGAGGGAAGAGGGAACAGGGTATCCCTGGGGACCACAGTCCTCTCTGCAGCCACATCCCCTGCACTGGAAGGACCAAAGTCATGACAAGAGGCAAAGAACAATGGCCACGACCATGGAGACAGTAGAGACCAAATTACAAATAACAAGGGACAAAAAAGCCAAACTTCCTTGTCCCAGCCAGACCCTTAGCCCAGCCCAAGCTGAATCTCCTGACACTGGATACCCTTGCTCTGCTACAGAGTTGCTGTGGTCTAATGGTTTACGTCCCTGCCAACTCTCAAAATGATGGTATTAGGAAGTGGCGCCTTGGGAAGTGGTGTCTTTATTACAAGGATCCCAGAGAGCCTCCTAGTCTTCTACCATACGATGACACAAGGACCCAGGAAAGGAGCCCTCATCAGAGTCAGAATCTGTTGGCTCCTTGACCTTGCACTTGCAGTCTCCAGAACTGTGATGAATACCTTTCTGCTGCTCACAAGTCATCTAGTCTATGGCACTTTGCGACAGCAGCCTATACAGCCTGAGACAGAAGCCTGCCCACACTTTCTGGATGGTGGGTCAAGCTGTGCAGGGAGCAGCCCGATGGTTAGTGCTGACCTCTGCCCTCCACAGGAGCCAGGATACCCTGCTGGGGCTGACCCCAGCCACCAAGCAGCTGGGGACACAGGAGCTGCTTCCAGCCGTGAGCCCCAGAGCCCGCTTAGCCTCAGATGCAGACAGTTCAGCAAAGACAGAGGCTGACGCCAACCTCTGTAGGCAGCAGCTCAGGCCCACAGGTGGCCCTGCCACACCTTGGGTATACTTTTCTCAACCGGCCAAGTTCTGACACTGCCTGTGAAGGACAGGCATCCTCACTCCCCTATCACAGCCTAGGGGTCCAGCTTCCCCACAACAAGGATAGAGGGACAGAAAAATTCTGGGTATCATGGTGAGGTTGGAGATTGAACTCTTTTTTTTTTTTTTTTTTTTTGGCAGAACCAGGGATTGAACTCAGGCCCTTGCGCTTGCCAGGCAAGCATTTATTCTACTGAGCTATCACCCCAGCCCCTGGAGATTGAACTCTTGACTTGATCCCAGCACTCTCTCTTGATTAGGAAAAGAACAGGTGGAATAAAAGCTACATATTCTTGTACTTTTCCTAAGGACTTCCACATCTATTTGTATCATTTGAGCCTATATTTCTGCAAAGTAACCAGATATAATTGTCTCCACTTTAAAGACATGGAACCATGGGCTGGTGAGATGGCTCAGTGGTCTAAAGCACCTACTTAGAGCAAGCTTAGCAAAGCACAGGGACCGCGGTTCAATCCCCCAGCACCACATGCCAGCCAGCCCCGCCCCCTGGTGGGCTGAGCTGGCCACACAAAATAAATAAATAAATAAAAATTAAAAAAAAATAAATAAATAAAAAAATAAAGACATGGAACCAGAGGGCCAGGCAGGGGCAAGGACCCCAGGGACAGAGCAGGTAGTTGGCAATGCTCTTTATACACCTGTGTCCCCTGTGGCTTTGCTCAAGTAACAGGTGGGCAGCAGCCTGGGCACTGCACGTAACAGATGCTTTTTCTAGAATCTCACAGATGATGAGGCACAGTGGCCACTAGCCACGGGTACAGGATTTCGCTTACCCTCTGGCTTTTTCAAGGTCTTCTATTGTCTTGGCGTGGAGTAAATAGAGGGATGCTGGTGTTAAGGCTTGTGTCTAGCTGTCCCCTAAAGCCTCATGCAGTTGTAGGTGTTGCTTTTCAGAAGTGGTGGGACTAGAATGTGTGATGCTGAGATTGATTTATGGTGCAATGTTAGGATCAAAGGTGCTGGGATTAAGGGTGTGAGTGCTACCTCCCTTCTGTGTAGCCTGGATAAGATATGGGACAGCAAGAGCTGTGGTCATCCCTACCTTCTGCCCTCTATGCCCTGTTCCCTCCTTTGTGGCACCTGTCTGCAGCACCACCCTGCCTTGGAGCCAGCCAATTATGGACTGAAACCTCTACAAACTGAGCTAAATAAACCTTTCCTCCTTTAACTTTGGGTATTGGGTATTTGTCTCAGCGACAAGAAAAGTGACTAAGACAGACAGTGAGGAAGAAAGGACAGAAAATGCGAGCTCTGAGTCCCTACCTGTTCTGCTCTGAATCCGGTCGGACGACGCCTGGTTCCCAGCCCATGTCCACTGCTGGTTGTTCTAGGACCCAGAACAGAAGCAGAGATCAAAACAGAAGCCAGAACCTGGGCTCTCAGCTGCCACTTAATGAACACCAAGGAGAGAGGTTTCGAGCATCTTATGCCCCAGATAAATTTAACACCGTGCCTATGTCTTGGCCTGAGAAGTAGAGGCACAGCCTTTCACAGTCACTAAAGGTGAGCATGGCTGTGGGCGCAGAGGACTCCACATGCCCCCGGGCAGAGGGTGCTGAATTAGCTTATAAAGTAGAGTGTCTTCTCAGGTCTGAGCACTCACACTTTGCAACAGCATCAGGAAGGGTAGACAGAACATGCAGTCTGTGGGGAAGGACTCTGCCTGCTTGCCCACCAGAGGGCAGTGAGGGCAGTGAGCGTGAGGCCACTCTAGGAAAGCCTAAAAGGCACAGGGAAGAGGTCATGGCAGCCTCTACTCCCAGCACAGATGGCGGCCTCCCAGTAATTCAGAGGTCTTTTGCAGGCAGGGGTGGAAGGTGGTAAAGAAGCTGTGTCAAAGCCTAGAATAAGAAGACACTCTGATAATTTTGATGACAGGCAACTGAATGTTCCTCCCTTTCCTTTCTTCCCCAATAGAACCCCCTTCCCTGACCCTCCCAATAAACTCCCTCCCTCCTGTTGCTCCACTCAGAACTAGAGTGAGCCTCACCTGGTACAGTTTTGTTCCAAGCTGGAAGTGCCATCTTGGGGGAACTCTGTCCTGAAACCTTCAGCATCTCCTGCAGCAGCAGACGGTTCCTCTCTACTTGGTCAGACAAGGACAGGGCACTACCCTCTGTGCCCAGAGCCCCCAGGTCTCCAGCTTTCCAAAGTGTCGCCTGTAGGCCTGTCCTTGGGACAAAGGCCTCCTCAAGGACCAAAGATGTGCTGTCCAAGTCTCCTGCTGTGACCAGACCATCTGGAAGAGGGTCTGGCCTTCCTTTCTTCAGGCTGCGCATGCAGGTGATTTTACAAGGACCAGGATCAGCTGGCCAGCCTGGAGTAATTCTGTGGATAGGGCTTCCTGCCAAGGCGTCAGTTCCCAGCGGTAGATGCCTCTCGCGCTCTGGTAACATCCATTCCGCTTCTAGAGGCAACGGGCTCTGCCCATCCCAACATGCAAGCTCTCGGGTGGAAGGTCCGGGAGGCCTGGAGCCCCCATTCCTAGTGGGTTCTTCCTTGTTGACACTGTTGTCCAGCTGCTCACCAGCCGGGTTCTGAGCATCGGGCACCACCACAGCACCTGGCAGGGGAGAGTCTTCTGCTGTCAGGACTTGTGCAGGCCTCACTCGTCGGCACTTGGGGTGCTCATCAGGGGTGGGGCTCACGCCCTGTTTACCCGCTGTCATTTTCTCCTTCAAAGCCCTCACCTTGGACTCCAACACAGAGGGTCCATGGAGCTGCACACCATCCAGCCTGGGAGGCTGGGGGATAGGGAAGGGCCAGGGCCTTAAGAGGGGGCCACTATCCAGCTGTGGCTCAGGACCATTTCTCTCCACAGCTGACAATGCCTGTATGGGGCTGGTTGTTCTGCTCCCTGTCTTGGGCCTTCTGCAGGAGAAAAGAGAGACAAAAATCCTGAGGTGCAGCACCTGGACTGCTCTAGCAACCTGCTGGGTCTCCAAAGGGCTCTAGTCTGCTAGATAATGGGAAAATATTTCACAAAGCACAAAAAAGTTATTACTGAATTTTCTCCTCCAAGATGAGAAATAGTCTTCTAATTTTTCTATCCCCATTTTACAGATGGGCTTCAAATGGTTAATCCAAATGTGTACAGGAATGAACAACCAGAATGATTCCTCAATTCCTGGTCTCTTACTTTGCAGAAGGTGGACTCAGTAGAAAAGGTCAAAGTCTGCTAACGGCCAACGTGCTCTTCCTGACAGACGAGGGGCCTCAGGAAGATGACAGCCAGAACACGACCTTTCACCCTCATGCGTCCCCATGCTTCAACCACAACATGGGCTTGCACTCAAAGGGTGCCCAAAATCAGGCACTGGTCACGCATGTGGGGCATTTGCTTTCTGCCAGGTAGAGTCTTCCAAGTGCTTTCAAACACATTTTCTCAAATAATCCTGACATGGCACAGTTAAGATATTATCATTAGCAGATAGAAAAACTGAGGCACAGATTACATCATACGCTGCTAGAGAGGCCCAGTTTGGAATAGAAAAAAGCTTCCCATTCCAAGCCCAGAGCTTTTCCAAAGCATTTAGTGATCTCTTGGCCCCACTTCCATCATTTTGCAGATTAGACTCTGGTCCACAGAGGCTAGCTAGGGACTTGCTGGCATTAGTGACATGGCTAACATGAATGGTTTCAAAAAAAGAAAGACAGCCTGGGATTTTATTCAACCAAGTGTTACCTGCATACACACTTGCCACTGTCTTAATATTTACTCTCTCAGAAAGTGCTACTTGAGGGCCGGCCAGGTAGCTCAGCGGACTAAAGTGCCTGCTTAGGCAGAGCACAGCGGCCAGGGTTCAATCCCTGCAGTGTGCCATGTAATTGAGACTGGGCGTAGTGGCACACGCCTGTAATCCCAGCACTTGGGAAGCTGAAAACAGGAGAATCACTATGAGTCCAATCTACATAGTGAGACCCTGAAAAGAAAGTGCTACTTGACATATATCTAAGTGTGTCCCACGTGAAGTCAACTTCATGTACAAAACTGTATGTGCATAAACTACAAATTAGCAGTAATTATTACCTTCACACATAGACCAAGTATTCACCATAAAAAGCAAAATATTCATATAACCCCAAATGTCACATCAGTTTTAAGGATTATCTGGAAGTTTAAGGAGTATCTTTCAGAGAGAAATCGTTTGTTCTATCGGTTAATCTAGAATGTACCAGGTTTCTCTTTGCACCCCAGCCCCCTTGCTCTCTTTAAAATAATCCAGAAAACGGGTTAGAAAGTCGTGTGAGCCGTTTCCATTAAAGCAGTACTTTTTGGTGGAGACTCTGGAGCAGCGCCCGCCGGAGAGGACCCGCGTCCCAGCCCTCACAGGAGGTGCTGGGCCGAGCCTTCCGGGGAGGATGTCGGGCTGGGCGCTGTCTCAGTGTGTGACCCTGCCCTGGCTTTGCTCTCACTTGCTCGAAAAGCTGAAGCGGAGGGCTGGAGAGATGGCTCAGTGGTCTAAAGCACCTACTTGAAACAAGCTTGGCAAAGCACAGGGACCGCGGTTCGATCCCCAGCACCACATGCCAGCCAGACCCGCCCCCTGGTGGGCTGAGCTGGCCACACACACACACACACAATAAATGTAATAAATAAAAATAAAAAAAAAAAGCTGAAGCGGAGAAGGACGCGCGGGGCGGGCGCCCTCCTGACCCTGCCCGCTCTGAGCCGAGCCGAGCCGAGGAGGCCGCGTCCCCAGCGCCCCCGCCCGGCGCCTCACCCGCCGCTACTCACTGAGGGCTCCCGCCGGCAGGCTCGGCCGCCGCCTCCGTCCCCTCCATCCCGGCTCCCTCGGCCAGCGCCGAGCCGGCCAGCGCCTTCAGCCGCGCCTCCGGGGCTGCACTCGCAGGGGAAGAGGCCGAGCCGGCGCCCCGCCGCGCGGGAGGAGAAGCGAGGGCGCGGGCGCGGGAGGGGGCAGCGGAAGGGGTGGAGGAGCCGCGACCTCAGCCGCCCCATCCCGGCCCTTGCGGCCGGCTGTTCCGGGCGGCCGCGGGTCTGGGCGCGCAGGGCTGCAGCTCCAGGCCGCGGCGTCGAGGGGCGGGAGAGGCCGAGGAAGGCCGGAGGGGGACCGCGGGGCCGAGCCCTCCTCGGCGGAGGAGCTGCGGGCGCAGCCCGGACGCCGCTCGGGGCAAGCCTGAGCGCGGCCGCGGGTAACTCTACACCCGGCACCGCTCCGGGGTGGAAGCCGAGGAATGCCCTTTGTTTGGACAACTTGTCCAGAGGAATTTGCGGACTTCCCCCTGGGACCGTCCCCCATCGCCCTAGGGCGCCGCTTTCTCCAAGGTCAAAGTCTTTGGCTTCCCTTTGCGGAGGCTCGAGGAGAACCGGGAGTGGACACGTGTCTGCCTGTCCTGTCCCGTCGTCCCATCTGCCAGGAGACCCTGATGCCTGCAGTGCCGCGGCCCCGTGGGCAGTGATGGGTTCTCAGGGTCCTGGGGACATCAGAATAGACCCTGTCGCTTTCTTGGGTTGTGCGGAAAAGAACAGCAAAGGGTTTGTCCTGCAGCTGTGACCTAAACCGTTGGGACCGTCTTTTTCCATCCACCTCTCACCAAAATCTGTTTTTGCACAAAAGATGAAAACGATGAGAGAGCACAAGAAGTTCAGAAATCTCTACAAAAACCCAAAGTGCTCATTCACCTTCCCTTGGGCCAGGGGCTTCACTCCCAGGCACTGGGTGCTTGTGCATTAGGTCAGCATCTGGCTGGCAGGCCTAGCCACAGGAAAGACCCCAGGGCGATGCGTGCCTGAGTATGCCACAGAGGGCAAGGTATTGTGAGGGCTAAAGCGGGGTGGGGACAAATGGGACTACAAGGACACAGAGGTGTGGCAGCCAGTGGAGGGAAGCTGTGAGAAAAACCATCCAAGGCCAAGTAGGCACCTCGGAGATCATGCAAAGAAACCCTGTAGAAGGGACCAGGCCCAGGTTCACACGGTGCTGGTGACAGGTGGTCTCTCGAGTCTGAGCCCCTTCCCTCGTGTTTCCACAGCAAGCGGTTCTTCAAGCAAGGAAGGCATGTACTGTTGTATTAGCACTGTTCGCATCACAGTATAGCACACAGCTGATACTGCCTGTGGGTGGAGGATGTACAGTACACTGGGCATTGGGCTCAGTACTTCACATTCGAGATCGCATTGCAACGTTAAGAGATAAGGACTGTTGTATCCTTTCCACAGATAAGGAAACTGAGTCTGTGGAAGCAAACCTATTGCATGCCACAGTTGGTTGGTTATCGTTGAAAGCTCTAGAAGTTTTACCATTACTGGGCTCATGAGTGCACAAGAACGCAGGGCTAGTAAACAGCAGATCTAGAAGCCAAGATTTGGTCAGCCAACTGCATCATGTGTGCTCAACATGGAGCTTTCGTTTTTTAAAAAACTCAAACAATTAGTGAAAAAAAATCAGTGAAGCACTATGACTCTGAAAGTGTGCAGCCACAGGAGTGTGGGCCTTCCTTTCTGACTTCCTTATGCCTGTTGTCCATGGTAGAATGCTGAAGCTGGCACAAGACTCCTCCCCAAGGGCCAGGGGAAGCACAGCAGTACTGTTCTGAATCTTGTGCCACCCCACCCACATTGACTGAAGGACTTCACTGAGGATCTTTCTACCTTCACTACCTTGAAAAAATAAGAGTAGTGAATCTCACATTAAGGATAAAGAAAGGTGTGGTATAGAGGACTTAAATGACTTGCCAAGGCCACATGGCTAACATAGCTAGACTCTGAATCGAATTCACCCTGACTGCAGGATTTTCTGCCTTTCTTCCTCTTCTCAGAGGCATCTGTGAATGCAGACTCCAGAAAGTAATTTCCCCACAACTCAGCTCCCACCCTTTCCTGGAAGTTAATGATCTGTAAGGCAGGTTTCTAAAAGTTCCAGCCCAAGTTTAATGTTTAAAGGAAACTGCCCCTCAACCTTTTGAGATGCAAATACCTTCAGTTTACTGGTAAATGTCATTTTGCAAGGGGGGGGGTGGGATATCACATCTGTACAGAGGCCTTAAAAGCTGTCTCACCTAGAGACGCCAAGAAGCAAATGCAGTAAGATGGTATTCAATTATCATGTCAGGGGCACTTCTTGTTCTTCTAAATTTTGTTTGGTTCAGCAGATATCTTTGTTTGGTATTTTAGGGAAAGGTCTATAGGGTTTTCAGGGTCTCACTACTAGATTGCACTGGTAATGATCCACCTGTTTACAGCCTCCCAAGAGCTGGGGTTACTCGCCACCATGCCCAGTCTCAATTGTGGTCTCAGCCCTTGGGGGCTGGCACTGGAGGCTTGGGGATGAACCCTGGCCCCAGCACTTGCATGCAGGCGCTTTAATCTGCTGAGCTATTTGGCCGGCCCATTCAGCAGATATTTGTTGAAATTTTTTTGTGTATCAGGAACTGGGGAACAAAATTTAACACCATTTAAAATTTCAGCCCCTGCCCTTGGGGATTTCCCATCAGTGTGAGCAGGACAGGCCATAAACTTCTGTAAGTGCTCCCAGCCACCTTAGCCTAGGGTGCTGTAGGTGGCTCACAGGAATAGCTAGACTGAGGCGAGTGTCAGATGGGGAAGGCATCACAGAGAACTGGGTCTCAGAAATAAGCTGACTGAGGGGAAGAGGTAGAGGCCCGCATTTCATGCAAAGACATTTGCTTGCACACTGCCCAGTAAACCCAAAGAAGCCAGGAGAGGGAGGAGACTGCAGAGCTGCTGGGGTAAAGTTCTGGTGGAGGAGCTAGACTGTGAAGTAAAGCCCTGGGAGGCAATCCAGACATGCCTTCCCTGGGCCCACACACTTCTGGGTTGGGAGGCCTCTGTGTGTTTTCTTATAGATCAGTCTTGTTGCTGTTTTTTGGAGAGAAATCCAAGAGGAAAGCAAGATATGGTAAATAGCTTCCTCCACTGAACAACTAGGGAAACCCATGGTCCTAAGGAGCCTCTGACTTTTCCTTGGTGAAGCATAAACCCTGCCCTCCTAAGGCCACCTCCACTGCGTGCTGGAGTGAGCAGCCATGTGGCATGTGGAAATCAGCCTTCACCTGGGGTGAACATAGAGTTGAGACAGACGGTCCTTCAAGGTCACATGGCCATAGTCCAGCGGGTCGGGCTTGGGTGGGAGGGGCACCGCTGCCAGGCCTCTGCTGAGCACCTGGCGGAGCCTGTCCAGCTGGAAGCCTGCCTTGCCCGTGGCTCCTTTCTCGCCAATGGACACACAGTGCAAGGAAGCATGTTGACCCCAGCAGCAGCTGCCAGCGACATTACTCACTGTCCTGAGGCCTTTGCTCAGGCCCCCCTCATTTCTTTCAGCAGAGAAGCCAGAGCATTCAGGACTGGTCTACTACATACCTGCCTCTTCCCTGCCTGAAGCTGCCTCTGGCTGCCCTGTGCTTCCAGCGCCTAGACAGCCTGTGAGGACTCTCCCAGGACACGGAGAAAGGCTGATTCCAAGGTCTCACTTGTGGACACTCTGACTGTGTAGTTCAGACTCCTGCATAGCCCAGGCTGACCTCAAACTTGTGGTGCTCCTCCTGCCTCAACCTTGCAAGTGCTGGAATTACAAGTGTGAGGCAAAGCCCAGTTTTCATTTTAACTACTTCTAACAGCGGCCCTTGCCCCCCACCATATTGAATCCCTTCTGGTTGCCACAACTAATGATGCTGACTCGTGTCTCCTTGTTTTGACCCAGACCATCCTTCACCCTGCTTTATGCCCCCATACATCTTGCCATGATTCAGTTATACGCAACACACATCTGCCCCTCCTCTAATTCGTATGTTACAGGCCTAACCCCCATGGTGGCATCAGGAGACAGGGTCCTTGGGAGGTAAGTAGTTCACGAAGGAAGGGGCTTCCCTGATGGGATTGGCATCTTTATAAGAGGAGACACCCCCAGCTTGCTGTCTCCCTGATGGTCCTCTCTCCAGCAGGGAACATACAACAAGAGGGTGGCTACCCGCAAGCCAGGAAGAGAGGCCTCGCCAGGGTGGTACCTGGCATCATTCTGCCATCCTGATCTCAGACTTCCTGACTCCAGGACGAGGAGGAGTTAAATTTTCGTTGTCCAAGCCACTCAGTCTATAGTCTGTTTGGTTATGGCAGCCAGACAAACCTCCATCCCGGTTTGCCTGTCTCCTGCCAAACTTTCCACAAATGCTCCCTCACCCACAAAAACCTAAAAGAGCACTTATCACATGGAGTGTCCATACCTGATGCAGAGGGGATTGCTACCACTTCCCTGATCCAAATGTGTGCCCACCGCACCAGAAGTACTAAGTGAGTGCCAGATGGCTCAGTGAAAGAAAACCATCACTCCTGGGTCTGGATGCCTAGGAGAAGACGAGGGCTGCTGGCTAAAAGGATTGATGTCACTTCCAGAGGATTTCATTCATCCAGTCACTGTAGCCAGCTCTGCCCACACTCTGCAAGGAAGGCAGTCACAGACATGGCTAGAACTGGTCCCCAGGATTTCTGGCTGACCCCATCTGTGGCATCCCTGAGTCTCCTTGTCCTGGCCCCTCTTCCCTCCCTGTCTGAAAGGGCCCCTGATCTCAAAAATGATGTGGGTCTTACACTACAATTCTGGTTGAGCCCAGGAATTTAGAGGTAAAATAGCTATGAGATAAGATAGCCATCCCTTCTGGCTGCCCCAACTAATGATGCTCACTCGTGTCTCAGATAAGATAAGATAGAGAAAGGGGAGAGGAGACAACAATGAGAGAGAAGCAAGCAGAGAGAGGCCGGGAGAGGACCCCAAACTGGGTACAATCAGGCATCGGGACAACAGGGCATCTCCAGACGGCAGGCACTCTGTTTTCTTGTTGTGCCTCTCTGCACACTCCAGCACACACCAGTTCCCCATGCTGCCAGCCTGAATCTATTAAGAACAAAAGTGTTCTTACCTGGTTAGAGTCAGCCTGTCCTAGCCCCTAGGCTGGCAGGCAGAAAGCCCACTAAAATGAAACAAGGTCCTTCCCAGGGACCTTGGCTGCAGACCTCACTGCCTGTGATGCTGCTTGCTCTGTCCAGGCACTCCTTCTGCCAGACATCTGTTCCCAGACTGCAGCTTTTCACTTCGTAATCCCTGAATCATATGGAAATGGCTGGGATTAAGAAAATATTTTAATACTGTTCCTCCTGCACTATCAAGCCTATTCAGTACAAGGCTATCATCAATATATG